TTTTTCTCAAAAGAAAAAGAAGCAACCTCTTAATTATATCTACTTAATTTAATACAAATAGTAAGAATTAATTATTTTTTATAAAAAGAGAAGGGTGAGTTTTATGTAAGATGCCCACCTTATTCTATACAAGTAAGGGACCTTGTTTGAAGAGGCAGTTTGGTACTAAAAATCTTACGATGATTGGAAAATTCATGTTCAACTCTAATTATGAAATTTGAAATTAGAAAAATGGTACAAATTGAGTGCAGCTATAAATACTGATTTTGACAACTCTAATTATGAAATTAGAAATTAGAAAAATGGTGTAAATTGAGTGCAGCTATAAATACTTATTTTGAAAATAAATGGTGCAGATAACTTATTGGAAGATAAATTATTTTTATGACTTGAAATTTTAGTGTTTAAAAACTCATCGATCAGATCTGAAATCGGGAGATCCAAATCGAATGGTCCAGATAACTTATTGCAATATAAACTATTTTTATGACTTGAAATTTCTTTTATCTTTATACCAGATAACTTATTGCTATTCTTATGACTGATAAACTATTCTTAGGACTTGAAATTTCTTTTATCTTTATACCAGATAACTTATTGCTATTCTTATGACTTGAAATTTCTTTTATCTTTATGCTAGATAACTTATAGCTATTTTTATGACTTGAAATTTTATTTTCTTCATCTTTATACCATATGACTGATAAACTATTCATATAACTTGAAATTTCTTTTATCTTTATACCAGATAACGTATTGCTATTCTTATGACTTAAAATTTCTTTTATCTTTATACCATTGTTTAAAAACTCGCTATTCTTATGACTTTGAAATTTCTTTTATCTTTATACCATTGTTTAAAAACTCGCATGAAATCGAGAGATCAGAATCGAATCGCGTATTAGTGATACCGCTCGCATGGGTGAACTTATTGCTATTCTAACGGTTTGAAATTTCTTTCATCTTCATACAAGATAACTTATTGATGTTCTTATGATTTTTGTTAAAAACTCGCATGAAATCGGGAGATCCGAATCGAATCGGGTATTAGTTGTTACATAGTTATATATTTTTATAATAATATAATTACAAGTTTACGTTTTTAAATTATATACTTTTATAGATTTGGTTATTATTAATAATTATACATTGATAATCAAATCTTGTATTTTATTTTTTATTTATTTACATTATAAATTATATAATGTATTAATTTTATTATAGCTGTAAATAATTTTTTCTTAAAAAAATAGATGATATTATAAGACAAATTTTAAATTTATTCATACAGGGAAAAAACATCTCAATATTCGCATATTGAAGAAAAAAAATGAAAATTCTTAATATAGTACCCGCATTTCTTATTGTATTATTAAGAAACAACATTTATAATGATTTTTAATGAACTTTGTTAGATTTTTTTAGGAATAAATTTGATCGATTCGACCGATTTTCGATCCGAAACGCCAATTCACCGATCCAGATGGATTTTTGAAGTGCCTGATTCAAGACACCAATCCGTTTTCTAAACCATCGCTTTATACTAATCTCGAGGTCAAGATGATCAATTCCATACCAATGCAACGTGTCATATATCATACATACGTACTGTGTAGTATAATCCTCCTTTCCAAATTAAAGATTTCACACTAATAATGTGCTGTTATTATATGAAATCAACAGTATTTTAAAGCATGGTGACATATGATAATCCTACGGTCAATGCCTCGTGTAAACGCACAAAGCAACGGCAAAGATTTAAGGGCTAAGTGCACAAGGGCGGAGGCGTAGATGAACAAAAGTTTGTGCAGTAGACATGAAGTAGTTGAAAGTTTGAGTAAGCAGGAGGGCCTTAAGACCAATGGCGTGCCCCATAATTTATCCTCTTTATTCCATTTTTTTTCCATTTTTAACAACAAACAATAAATAATTAAACCCAATATATGAAAAGTTGGGTCACCTGTTTAAAGATTTTATGTTCATATTTCATATCCATTAACTTCTCCCTCCAAATCTCAAAGTTTGGTCACCTAGTTACCATATATTCAAAAACATTTCTCTTTCTCTCTCTACACGATATGCTAAAAAACATCTCTCTCTCTACGCCATATGTTAAACAACATAACACTCTCTCTCTACATATGTTCAACAACATAGCTCTCTCTCTCGACACCATATGTTAAAAAACATATATCTCTCTCTCTATTTCCTCTATCTCCTCTGCCCCCAACTCTCTCTCTCTCTCTCTTCTGTACCCTTAATTTTTGGACAAAAAGAGGTAACCCCAAGAGCGTGAAAAGGTTGGTGAACTGCTAAACTGCCCATACCCTAAGTCAAAAGACCCAAATACCAAATAACCCTTCACCTTGGTTTTTATACTTCATTTCTTCACGTCCCCCCCACTCCAAGTTTCCCTCTCTCTCTCCAACTGCCATGAAACTATACCCAAGAAAAAATTCAGGCGATATGCCCGAAACCATAGTGTCCGATCTTGAAGGGTCTTTGCTTAAGGAACCTGACCCATTCTCCTATTTGATGCTTGTTGCCTTTGAGGCCTCTGGGGTCCTACGATTTGCTTTCTTATTGCTGGTTTGGCCTTTGGGCCGTGTCCTAGACATGGTTGGCTTGGGAGATGTTGGCCTCAGGCTCATGGTTTTTGTTGCCATGGCTGGGATTCGAGAATCCGAGATCGAAGCTGTGGCTCGTGCTGTTCTTCCAAAGTTTTACATGGATGATCTAGACATGGAGGCATGGAGGGTGTTTAGCTCTTATGGGAGGAAGGTGGTGGTGACCAAGAGCCCTAGGGTTTTGGTCGAGTGGTTCGCAAAGGAGCACCTGCGAGCCGACGACGTTGTTGGGGGTGAGCTTGTGGTGAACCGGTTCGGGCTGGCGACCGGGTTCTTTGCAGACCATGGTTGCTCTACTGATGAACGCGTTCGGAAATTGTTTTGTGGTGAGAGCCCTGATGTTGGTCAAGGCAGGCTACCGTGTTGCTCCTCTGTTCAATCCTTGTGCAAGGTGAGTGCTAGAGGTGCTCTCGTGCAAAACACATACACACACATGCATGTGAACACCCCAACCGAACCGTGTATGCAATGCATGAATGAATACATTGACACACGTACCGCACGCACCTACACTCGGGTGAAACATGTAACACGTGCATGGACATTGCTAGGTTCCCATCCTCTTCCTCATCTGGTTAACATGGCTGATTCTTGCTCTGCAGGAGCACTTGTATGCACCCTTCTCTGATGGCAAAGCATACGACCTCCCACTCTCGAAGCCGCCTCCTGTGATATTCCATGATGGTCGATTAGTCCGTCGCCCGACTCCCTCTACCGCCCTCCTCATCCTCCTCTGGCTGCCTCTCGGTGCCCTCCTGGCTGCCATCAGAATACTGGTGGGCCTCCTCCTCCCAATCCAAGCCATTCCCCACATCGTCAACCTCTTTGGTGGCAGCATCATCTTCAAAGGCACCCCACCACCCCCGAACTCCGGCATCCTCTTTGTGTGCACCCACCGCACCCTGATGGATCCTGTGGTCTTATCGGTCGTCCTAGGTCGCAGAGTTGCTGCTGTCACATATTCGATTTCTCGACTGTCGGAGATCCTATCTCCAATCCCGACGGTGAGGCTCTCTAGAGACCGCCGTGTCGATGGCGAACGAATCAAACAGGCCTTGTCAGAGGGCGACCTCGTCGTCTGCCCCGAGGGAACCACATGCAGGGAGCCCTTCCTTCTAAGGTTTAGTGCCTTGTTCGCTGAGCTTACAGACCGGATTGTCCCAGTAGGGATGAACTACCGGGTCGGCTTCTTTCATGCCACCACCGCCCGAGGTTACAAGGCCATGGACCCAATCTTCTTCTTCATGAACCCCAGGCCTGTGTATGAGGTGACATTCTTGAACCAGTTGCCCGAGGAGCTCACTTGCTCCGGGGGTAAAAGTGCCCATGACGTCGCGAACCACGTGCAGAGGATTCTAGCGTCTACGCTAGGGTTCGAGTGCACAAGCCTCACCCGGAAGGACAAGTATCGGGTGCTCGCCGGAAACGATGGCACCGTCCCGGATTCAAAGGATTACGGTGGCCGGATTCTCAAGTTGGTGGACACTTTGATACAACACTAGCTCTGGAGACATTCATTGTATATATGCCCACATGTTTGTGCTCCTTATATAATTTTTCTTAATTTTTTCGATAATTTGATTGGTTTTTTTTTTGGTATGGTCGATAAATGGATAGTTTGATAGGTCTTACGATAATTCTTCTTATTGGATTTGTCTTAAGTCTTTGAAAGTGGGGAAGGCCGCCCTTGAACAATATTTGAAGTTGTAATAGAGTGGTTTTGCATCATTTTGGGTGACAATTAAATGCATTCTTTCTAATTGTATATTCTCCTACAAATACCTTTTTTTTTTCGTGGTTTTTCTTTTCTAAGTAATTTGGGTAAGGAACGGACAAAAACAAGAGAAAATCATTCAAACGAAAAAAGAGATGTGACATAACATATGGTCCATATTTTGGGCCATATCACTCTTTGTGCCAAATATCTTCGTATGAGAAAAGACTCCTAGCTTGATGAAACAATCGGATAGGGCCGGCAATGGATCTAGACCCGACGCGGGACCTGTCGGGTATACCCGACACGGGCCAGTGTATGGGTCCAAACCTTGGTCCCATAGATAGGATCCGGGTTTTTCATAACGGACCCAAAGATTCTTGAGTACGGGTCCATGTACTAGCCGACGTGCCCTATACCCGACCTGTGACCCGAAAGTTTTCACCCTTTTTGAAATCTACCATTCATTATATAGCAAATCCCCTCATATCACGTGGAACTAAAAGATCTTCTCACCTACGGAGAAGTAAGTATGAAGTGATAAGAAGAGAGAGGATGTTGTCTACTGGAAGATTAGCTCCACATCAATGGGAATAGAAAGAAATAAGTGGGTCAAGTTCTATAAAAGCAGAGGCATTGGAGCGCTTGGGGCAATGATGCAGCCAGTGAGGTAAAACCGAGGCGCATCAATTGCTGGTTGAAAACTATTTCCAAACTGGGCTAGTGTCGGGTACGGGTCCTGATCCCTCTATTCGAGGACATTCTCAAACCAAATTTGAATTATTATTATTATATTTAGTTTTTTCGTTAGTAAGGCACTACCCTAAAGCTTGGAGCACTGCCCTACTAATGAAATAACTAAAAGAATTCGGACCCAGGATTCCATCCTCAAATAGAAGGGCAATTTTGGAAAAAAACAATAAAAGAATTCGGACCCAGGATTCCATCCTCAAATAGAAGGGCAATTTTGGAAAAAAACAAAAAAAGTCAGTTAGTTTGCAATTTGCTACAATCATCTCTATTGCGAGTCTCATAGATCTAAAAAAGAAAAAGGAATTCTCATATCAACCCTTTAATGGATAAAAGAGCATTCAGTGAGGAACATTTTCACCAAATTTTATTAAAATTTTCCTGTAGTCTATCTGTTTGATGAACAAATTTAAGAGAATTGACCTCCATGTATAAGAAAACTGGTCAAATCTAATACAAATGACTGGAATTTCAACCATAGGTTTATGCTGCCTCAAGGCAAATTCTCATAAAATTTTATCTTCATATAATAAAGTTGATGTATGGAACATTTGTCAAGCCATCAGGCATTCCTTGATGTCGACAATATAGGAAATTAGGTCAAGTAAAATCCATGACTCAAAACTTTGGATTTAAACTTACAATGTCTTTGATTACGAATCAATTTATTGTCAATTTGAGGAAAATTGTTTTTCCTTTATTGTCAATCAATTTATTGTCAATATAGTACGGGGTTTTTTTTTTTCCTTTATCAAGTATGGGTTTTTGTTTTTGTTTTTCTTTTTTCAGGTAAATCAATGGGGAATACAGGCCCTTGGCCATTTTTAAAAGTAGCCAAATGCGTAAGTGAGAATGAAAATCAAGACCGGTAGCTGAAGCTCAGGTGGTGCTACCACCACAACCTCAACCCCACTCTTGCTTATGGGTTATTAGTTAGTCTACACGGCATTATTTGACCAATGGTGGATAGATCCTGACCTCTATGTATAAGAAAGGAGGTCAAATCGAATCAAATTGATTAAAACTTTAATTATATGCATATGATGCCTTGAATAACACTTCTCTAGGATTCCGTCTAAATGTGGGAAATTTGGTTTATAGACTGTTGGTCAAGCCATAAGGTATTCCTTGACCAATGTTGGGTAAAAATCTTGAACCCTAATGTATGAGAAATGGGATTAAATCAAGTTTAGATGGCTTGACACTTTTGAATTAGGCTTATAATGGCCTGAATATCATTTCCTCCCAATTTAATCTCAATTGAACTAAGTTAGTTTATGAACCATTGGACAAGCCATAAGGTGTTTTTCTAACAAAAAATGGATAAAATTTTGACCTCTCGTATATAAGAAAGGGGATTAGAGCAAATCAAAATGACTTAGAACATTAAACTTAAACTGCCGAGCTCTAAGGCACTCTTGAGGCCGATGGCGAACTAGAAGGGGCATTAAACTGCAACCAATCTTCATGATGGTTTTTTTTTTTTGGGTGAGTCAATGGGGGAATTGAGCCTAGGACGTAGTATTGCAAATCGTCAAGCGCTAACCAATTAAGCCCCTGCTCTTTTCCACATCTTCATGAAATTTGATATGTAGCTTTAGGAGCATGATGTCCAACTACTTGCGAAATTACAGATTGGTATGGGCTCATTTTAATGAGTTTCGGATTGGATCATTGCCACGCCTATTCGAGTGGTGGCCAAGCAATCTATCCTGTTAAACAAATAAAAAAACACATCATACACGATCCTCTCTTTAAGAAACTTCATATATGGGCTTCATCTCATCCCACCCTTGTGAAGTTCCAGATCCAATCTGGGCTCATTTTACTGGATTTTGTACTCGGCTAGTCACTAGGGCTAATGGATTCGGGACTCAGCTTATAGAGTGGAGACTAAGATTCTTTAGCCTATTTAATCTATATTTAATTGAATTGAGGTCCAATTTTATGAAAACCTAGATTATGGGCACATTACACGCCTACATTAAAAGCTTTATGGGACCAAACTCCCTATAGAGGGGCAACGAGGCTTTACAGCCATGCTCAATCGTCTTATCTTCATACTTCAACTATTTAGAAAGTTGTTTAAGGTATGCTTTGATTTTATGATCCAAAATGCACTTAAACAATTAGGTCAATGTCCCATTAGGTTGTTGACCTACCTTTTTAAGTCTTTTTATTCCCATTTTACTCCTAATTCGAAAGTCGGACTTTTGAATTGGCCAATAACAAAAATATTGATATATTTGGGCGGTACAAAAGTTAATTTTTTTTATATTTGGGTGGTTCGGAGTCTAACTTGCAAATCACCCAAAATACAAAAAAATATGCATTGGGGTGGTTCATTGAAATCACTCAATACTGAGTCTTTTTTGTTTTTTGTTTTTAATTTAGTTTTTTTATTTTTTAATTTTATTTTAGGCAGTGCAAAAGTTAGAGTTTTGAACCATCCACGCCACTTCTTTTTCTTTTTTGGATGGTATAAAAGTTGGTCTTTTCAACTCTTAAATCACATATTTCATAATCAAATTCTTTTATTTTGGGCGTTTGAAAGTTTCACTTTCGAATTGGTGTGAATTGGAAATAGAAATATCTTAAAATAAAGGACCTTGACATAATACGACTCAAAATATGGACCATGGTAGTGCCACATCTTTTTTCCAATTCACACGTAAATTTGCCTAGAAAAAAAATGTAGAGAGGAAACGAAGCTTTCATATAGTACGTAAAAAATCTACAATCTATCTCCCAAAAACTTCATGCTCATATAAGATTGAAGCAAAAACTGAAGATGGCCACTTATTCACCTTATTGAATTGGCATTAAATATAATTGAAGAAACCTAAAATCATGATTTTAGAACAAGTGTCGAATTTCTGTCCATTAAATCCTTGGAAGACACACCCTTATCGCTCTTTTTAAACGAGCTCCATTACGATTTCTCTTCCGCCTTAAGTGCCATTTGATAGCCTCTTCAATGGTGTGAGGAGAATGCATCATTAGCTCTTCATGGATACAGGATTTCAGCCCACTTAAGTACCGGGCCACTAGCTTATCATCACTGTCATACAAATTTAAGCGGCTTAACAATTTGTAAAATTGTTGTGTAATCGGTAATCCTGAGAAGATGTTGTTGCGGGAGCCCTTTGCTCGTTTACCATTCGACGAAGTTCTTGGTTGGATTGTTGAGACCCTCCAAGGAAGCTTGTCTATGAGACTGTCTTCGTGGAGGCATCACATAGTGTAGTTTCAAAGGGATTGAATTTCAAGTTCTTCCTGCTTTCATACTAACTTGATGCAGGCCGGCGACTGCGAGATGTTGCAAGGAATCTCTCAACCGCACCTTCCAAGACGCCTTCAAGCGAATAGGGGTCTACAACCCCGTCCTCACTGAATCCTACCTGGATGGCTTAGTGGATCTACCACCAAGTTTTGTATGACTGGATTTTCGTAATCGTTTCAACGAGAAGGGCGACCAGTAGTTACATGTAAAAAGTTACCTGCTCGGCATCTCCATGCTACGGGATAAGCCAATACCCCTAAAGGCTTTATTCGATCACTGTCTCGCAGGTACAATAATTTTGTAAGAGATTATCCGAATGCCTCCTGTCGAGAGATGTTATGAAAGTTTGTGATGCATTATCGGGCCACTAAACCATACCCAATTTCCCTCGGTGAACTGGCGGCGCTCAAGAAAACTCATGATGAACCATTCATGAAATTTGTAGACAGATTCAACAGTGAGGCTGCCCCAGTCCAACAATGTCCAATGGTAGAACACACGAAAATTAATCTCATACCCCAAAATGCCAACCTCGAGTCTAAGAATTTCTTCTGCCATGGTAGCATCCCCCGGACCTTCCACATCATGTTGGAAAGGGTCGAGTTGTATAAGAGGACTAAATGCCTCACAATCGGTACCAAGCCGGTTGAAAATCAAAAGATTACTTAGCACCCAAGAGCAATAAACAGAACAAAACCACAAGAAGCCGGTGAGGTGAATCAAACCATCCTCAACCACACTAGCACAAAGGGTCAATATCCCCAGCATGGACAAATCAGAAAACAAATTATCAAGCCAAGACAGATAATAGAATTAAGCCATACAATATGAATATGTTATTAATAATTTTTCTAAGCATAGTTTCTCTTTGAAATTGACATACTAGTTTTCAAGGATTTATACTCTAATTAGGCTTACCTTTGGTATAAATAAGTCACAGTCACCCCTAGCCTTCATATGTCAAATCTAATTTCTTAGTTTTTGTCGCAAAATCCTCTTTTGAAATTGTGAATTTGTCAATTA